ACTTGTTAATACATCTAATTATTTTCCACATATATTCTGGTATTTTGTCTCTATCATTCTACCCAGAAGTTCATTTTTTGTGAGAAAGGAAACTATTGTTTATCATTAAGTTCTAATTTACCAGTTTGACCCTGTGCGCCCTTGGTCTATTCTGACAATTTAATTAATATTCTAATATAGCTGTTATTGTACATGTTATTCATCTCCATAAGACCACCCGTCATACTGCTTTACTCATCCTATATCCAGACACTAGGATTAACCTTGGCTCTTTCAGCTTTTGATATTTCCCTAAGGTTTCAAAGACTATTACTGAGCACAGTCTTTTTTTAAGTTTCAAAAATATATTCCGAAAAAATTTCTTTGTGTGTATATATATATATATACATAATCACAAACACAGTTTGTTTCTGTACAATAGCATATCAAGGAAACAAACAAACATTGGAGTTAAACTCTATCCAAACAAACCAAAGACATCTCTTACTTGAACCAGATTATATTTACATGAATCCGAGGTACCAGGTGGGTCTGATAACTGAATAGACCCCCATTTAACCTCAGCAGAAAGACCTTAGACACCGGTCTTTCCCCATTGTACCTTGGCGGCAGCTGCCCCAAGCTTTAATGCATCCCTCAGCATGCAGTCCTGGACCTTGGAACGTGCCAGTCTGCAACACTTGGTCAAGGTCAACATCTTGTTCTGGAAGACCAACATGTTTCGGGCAGTCCAAAGAGTTGATGGTCCTCCAGGCGCTGTTGTTTCTGTGTGTGTCCAGGGAGCAGACCGTAGAGAACATCACGGAGCTGCTCAGGATGAGCCTCAACAAAAATCACTGCATCTTTCTCCAGACTTCCTTTACACAACAGAACATAATACTTTGTCTGATTGAAGCGCCACACTGTGTAATCAAAACTTCTCCTGGTTATCTTCAACTGTTTGGCTATACAATTCCACATTGTAGTTGTTCTGTTGATTGCTGCTTTGTATTCCATGTGCAAGTTCAGTCTACTAAGGCTCTTAGGATTCTTTCCAATTCATCCTGAACTATTTTATGATGTTTAGGCAGAATGTGCCTTGCTTACTTGTTCATACTTGGCAGTTGTCTGCATTAAATTTTATCATTTATCTATTCAGATAATTACAAGCCCCCACCAATCACAACTCAAATAATAGCCTCCCCTCCAATATGGAACCTTTGCTCATTACTGAGAAAATAAGTAAAATGGTTTTATAATTACTTTTAAATTTGAAATAATATTACCATGAAATCTGGTGCAAAATATCTTGTTAAATGTCATTTTACCAGCAACACAATATACTTCATGAAAATTAGAAGTGCTGAATAGTCAATAAGCATATTTGTACTCAGTCAGAAACAGAGAAAAATTAAGAACAAGCATTCATTAATAAAATAAAGGTATAATCTAATATAAATGTAGAAAATGTTTGGGTGGACCCTTGATCATAACAAAGGACTACACGATAACTTTGATGTGTGTGAGTCAAATTCATGGGACCCGCCCAATAACTCAGTTCGGATGCTCAATAGCATTTATTGCTGACCTCTGGTGGCTGTTTATTTTATTGCATTCACTCGTTCCACGTTCAATATCTGCTACTGCTCCCATGAGTTTTTTAATGTTGAATCAGCAATATAATAGGGTTCTCAATATTTCCTTTGTTATTGATGTTATGGGACAGGAGGACTTAGAAGGAAATGTAAAGCTTACAATGGAGAACAGTTTCGGAGTAACTGGCATGTCCCATGTTTATTCCCTCAAGCAGTGCAGAGAAAAGATCAGCTTTGATTTTAGATGTACTTCTAATTTAGCTTACAATCAACAATAACTGATGTAAGCTTAGCATAAGTAAAGGCAATTCTACATCAAGCCATCATTGCTAACAGTTGGTATAGAACCTAATCTATTGTGGACGCTGCTGAGTAAATATTCACTGGTCCTAAAAGATAAGCTGAAATTTTATTAATTCATGTTCATATTATTAATTAATTAATTTTTATTAACTCCTCACCATCTGACAAGATTGACTTAGCACTTATTCAGGCACCCGCACATTTCGGCCTTGCTGTGCTCCTTTGTGCAGACAGAAATCCAGGCAGCTGCTCATGGTTATAAGCACTGAACAGTAAATGGGGTGACACATATTGCACTGCATATGGGTCTGTGTACGTCAATGTCACACCTACAACATGTGCTTCAATCAAATGAGCATGTCTTAAAGTCTAAGAGGAGTAAGTCCTTAGGCAAATGAAGAGAGACTATGTTCAGTCATGGAATTCTACTACATTTAGTCAAGGGCAACATCCAATCTTGGTCACCACCACTCTGGCAAAAGGAGGAACTACAGGAGATGAAAGTGGTTGGAAGAGCTGTAAACGGCAATGCAGGAGCAGGAAAGATGGTGAAGTGAATGACAGGGTGAGTAGGAAGCGCAGAAAGTAGGAAAACTTAGTAATTTGGGAGAATGAGGTGGGGGAAAGCCATTAAGTGAAGATGCTGCATACTGTAACAACAGTGATAGACCATTAGCCTGGTGAGAGGTATGTGCAATGACAAAGTTATAGTGAGTGTCAATTAGCATACAGACAATGGTGGTACTTATCCTTGTGGAGTACAGAATGCCATTAACATTGCCAGGGAATTTTTCTTACCAGGGACAGTGCACTGTCTCAGCTGAATATCTTTCTCCAGTCTGGCAGCATCTGGTGTCATGGCCTCCTACAGGAAGCTGGAGGATAGACACCAGCTCTCCTTTCACTATACCATCCATCAGGACTACAGATCCCTGTCTGTAAACTGATTTTCAACTTCCCCTTCTTGGTCACCTCCTCTGCAATAACAGTTGAGCAACAGACTTTGTGTTTAAACATATTACCCACAAAATCTTTGCCAATTATCATCATAACAAACATTGCAGTGGGCAGTGGTTGTTACACATTGGGGTGGGTGGTGGACTTTTGTAGTGAACAGTGATCAGTGCAATGAATGGTGGACCTTGCAGGGGTCATTGCAGTGGATGGTTTTCATTGTAGTAGATATTGCAGTGGACATTACAGGGGGCAGTGGATATTTTAGTTCATGGCCGTCATTGCAGTGGGCGGAGATCATTGCAGTAGGCAGTTGACATTGCAGTTAAGTGCTAGACATTACAGTGGATGGAGGTTGTTGTGATATATTGTTGACATTGCATTGGTGGTAGTCATTGCAGTAGGTGATGAACATTGTAGTAGGTGCTTGTCTTTGAAGTGGACATTGCAGTGGGTGGTGGTCATTGCTGTAGGTGGTGGACATTACAGTAGATGACATAACATTGTAGCGGACACTGTAGTGGGCGGTGGTCATTGCAGTGAACATTGCAGTGGACAATACAGTGTACATTACAGTGGGCAGTGGACATTGCAGTTGGTGCGGGTTATTGCAATAGGTGATGCACATTTCAGTAGATGCTGGTATTTGTAGTGGGCTGTGGTCATTGCAGTGGATAGTGGTCATTGCAGCTGGTGGTGGTCATTGTGGTGAGCGGTGATCATTGCAGTGGGCAGGGGTCATTGTGGTGTGTGATGGTCATTGTGGTGAGCAGTGGTCATTGCAGTGAGTGGTGGTTATTTGAGTGAGCGGTGGTGATTGCAGTGGGCAGTGGTAATTGTGGTGAGTGGTGGTCATTGCGGTGAGCAGTGGTCACTACAGTGGGTGGTCCACATTGTAGTGGGTGGCAGTAATTGTAGTGGGTGGTAGTAATTGTGGTGGGTGGTAATAATTGTGGAGGATGGTGGTGATTGCAGAGGGTAGTGCACATTGCAGTGGGCGGTGGTGATTGCAGTGGGCAGTGCACATTGCAGTGAGCAGTGGTGATTGCAGTGGGCGGTGCGCATTGCAGTGGAAACTGGTCATCGCAGTGGGCGGTGCACATGCAGTTGGCAGTGGTGATTGCAGTAGGCACTGTAAATTGTAGTGGGCAGTGGTCATTGCAATGGGCGGTGCATATTCCCGTGGGTGGTGGTCTTGCAGTGAGTGGTGGTGATTGCAGCGGGTGGTCATCATTGCAGTGGGCAGTGGTGATTGTGGTGGGTGGTGGTCATTGCAGTGGGCAGTGGTCTTTGCAGTGGGCAGTAGTGATTGCAGTGAGTGGTGGTGATTGCTGTAAGCAGTGCACATTGCAGTGGATTGTACATATTGCAGTGGGTGGAGATCATTGCAGTGGGCAGTGGTCTTTGCAATGGGTGGCGCACATTGCAGTGGGTGGTGCACATTGCAATGGGTGGTGTACATTGCAGATGGCAGTGCACATTGCAGTGGGTAGTGGTGATTGCTGTGAGTGGTGAACATTGCAGTGGGTGGTGCACATTGCAGTGGGTGGTGGTGAATGCAGTG